GCAATGGAAATAATTTTTTTCATAATAGTTACTATACTTGCAAAAATAATATGAAGACTCGAACTGGTTGAATTAACATAAAATCCAAATCCAGTGTGAACAAAAAAATACGACTAGCAACGTATGTAAGTATGTCCAGCCCATATACAGTTATTTACAAATCAGGATAACAGTGCATTTTTATCATCCAACATAGTAATTTCGTAAAAAGATTAGTTTGATATTATATTTTTAAAAAAATTATCTGATTCTGATCTGAGAATACCCTCCTGATAGAGAATGCCCTGATACCCTCTGTATAGAGGAGGCCTTTGCCCAGCAGTGGGACATGTATAGGCTGTTACTTTACTTTACTTTTTACTTTTATCTGAGAATACATCTTTATTAAGGTTGTAAATACCAAGTGCGGTTGTGTTACCGCTACTATTTAAACCGCTAAAGCAAATTTTAATTAAATAATTTTAAAATTTAAGAAATTGATGGTTTAGTTTCCTATATGGGACAAATATTTGTGTGCCCACAAATAATTGTAAAAACACTGAGAAAAATATTTTAGGAATAAAATATAATTAGATTTTATTTTTATTACTTAAACGTATTTTTATGTTCATTTTTTTAGTGATTGGTTTATCTAACGTTTGGCCAAACCGGACGCAAATACTCAGTCCTTATTATTTATTTAATGATGGCTACCCGAGCGTTTGACAAATTATTCTGAGCCGCCTCGAACTTTACGACACCGGGGAATCCCAGAATATCACGCAAGCCAGATGCTGGTTTTTTGTGTCCATTTGTTACGAGAATTCAAGATTGCTTCAACAAGACTCACAAATCGACTATTATCGGCTATTATCCTATCCAAAATTAGGTACTTAAGTACTCTTATGTCGGGTTTATCAAAGTCACCCGTAAATTTTCGATATCAAGTAGTTATCGGTCATTAACAAGGTGCAGGATTGTGAAAATCTGATTGTGTATACGGTCTCTTTATAGCGCACAAAGATAAATTAAACCCCGCGTAAGCAAACATAAAACACGATCAAAGGAGTCTACCTTTTGTGAATCTAATACCCAACTATTACACCACATTTGATAGGCCACACACACGAAAAAAATACTTTTCCCGCCAATGGACCGCGTGGCTATTATCATCAATTGTAATCAAATTAATTTATATTTTAATGCAATTAGAGAATTATAGTGCAGCGTATTTACGCTTTATATTAATTATTAAACTTATCGATGATATATTTATATCATTGATAAGTTTCTGGCGTAAATAAATATTATATTAAGTAACGATTATAAGTTCGAATGTCCTCAGTTCAAAGGTTTGTCCGAACCGAAAAATTGAATAGCTGTCAGATAAAATTAGCTTTATCACTCATTTCAGCGATACCATGCGATCTTTATCGTCGAAAACGTATTTAATATCAACCTGGTGTGTACATTACATTTATTAATGATATGTTTATACGAAATTTCGTCATTACATACATGCGAATCTCAGAATGGATTCGAACTCAGCTTAATCCCGATCTGCAATCCACTAAAGTTATCTATTTAAGGAAGTAAGCGAAAGCATTAAGACTATCGCATCTTCATTGGTTTTAAACATTAGATATACGAAAGTAAAAAAAATATATTTAAATCCCGCAAACGAAAACGAAACGGATATAAATAGCGGTTTTATTTGTTTATTGCCCTCGGAGCAGAGCCTCAGCGCTCGCCACACGCAACAAAGTACCCAAGTTCATTCCTCGACAACGATAACGTAACAATAATGTGGCCGCAAATTATAATTGCAATTATTAGTGCGTTGTGGTTAAGAAAATCGTGGAAGATTGTGGAAGTACTGAATAAAATCATGTTGGGTGCATTTAGCATCTAAATATAGATTTTTACGATGGTGCACGTACTATAGTCATAATTTATTATGAGTAAAAAGATAAAAAAAAACTAAGATATAAGAATATTAGATACCTTAATAATATCTCCATTCCATAGTTGAACCTATGAACATGAAATGACGGGAGAACAAATTGTGTTGTAACTACTTTTTTAATCCTCTAAATAACCTCTAAAAAAATCGCATTAGCTGGCAGCATTTATTGCTCGGTAGCTTTGAAAAGAGTACAATTTTTCAATGGTGCATTCGACCTTAAGAACAATTCAATAGACCGGCAATAAAACATTGGACCGTTGTCGCCACATGTCTAACTGGTGACGTCAGATCGCGCTTGGGCGCCAGATGCGGTGCTCCTTAGGCTGAGCAAATATATTACTTTCGAGAGACCTTCTGTTTCTTTCAAGTTTTATTTTTTATTCACACGATCGCTAATACAATACAATATGCATCTGTTGGCACACTTTTGAAAGAATAAATATTTAGTTTACGACTTAAAACTTTCACAGTTTGTGTGGCATCACTTTTGGTAACTGAAGGATTTAGTACGATTCCTTTTTTGGGTGTTGTCCTTAAATATGAATAAGGTTCGCCACCCTATCCGTACCAGATGCGGTACACATAATAGCTGTAATAACGCGAGCTGCGACGGCTGTATGACATCTGTATCTTTGCCGACACCAATAAAAAGTAAAGGGTGACTCCTGTGTAAACCGTAAAAAAAATATGTTTGTAAATTAGAACCAATCAACGGGAGAAATTCCCATCGCGATGCGTCCAACAAATGCTTATGATGTTTATTTACATGACAACGTGAAATATATTTCAGGTTTCAATTATTTTCGATTTAGGGCGGTCATTTTGGAAGCTTTGAGTCCTGTTGTTTTGGAACGTGTGTTGTGTGGCGTGTAACACTACTAAATTTCTAATTCTGCTTACATTTTTACTAATTCAGTTATATTTCCCACGCACAGACCGTATGTCTTGATGATATTAACGGCAATAACTGGTTATAAAAGCTCTGCTAGGTCCGCGATTAAGCTCTGGATCTTTGAGCAACTTGAAGGCAGTTGTTTAATAAGTCTGACCTGGAGATCGCGGCCATTATTTAAATTACGAACCGTTTATTTAAGTACGGTCGCTATCGGCGACGGCGTCAGAATTGACATTGCTACACGCAAGAGTGATAGGAAACGATCAGTTGCTTTACCAGGGCAAAATTGGGCTTAAGGGCCGATTACATTTTCGTTGGAAGGCGAATTATATTATGGATTGATTGCGAGAGGATTGTTTTGTCAGTGGGTTTTTTGTTCACTTATTTACTGCATCAGTTATTTCGGTAAGCGTTGAACGGTGGGTTTAAAGATAGCTTATATTCACGCGGATGTTAAAAAAATTGCCAGAAAGTTTACGGATATCGTAACGAACGATGAACGCTGTGAAGATACGAAACGTCGAGGGTTCAAATTAAAAATGAACCGAGACTAGATCCATAAAATAGTTATCATGATAGGTGTCGTGTTGTCCATGGACACATCAGGTGAACCTAATGCTTGCCAACTTTTCACATAAAAAAAATTAAAATACAATATACAGTGTGATAGTCTATCAACGTATAATGGATCCATACTGTGCGATTGTTTTTCTAATCGCTACTCCAGACAATTTCGGTCGTCGAATCTCACGCGACCCCCGGCTCGCGACATGTGAACAAACACCACTCGGCCAACATACCATGTGACGTTGTCACAGTCCTTATGACGTGTGCACAAGAGCTATAATGGCTCGTTTCAACGGCCGAAAGGGTTTGTAATGAGGCACACTTGTCCGCGCAGCTAGTCTCACCCTCGCAACATGTGCAAGTGGGTTTACTTACGAACCCCTTTTGTTTAAGCCCCGCTACGCACTAACGAATTGGAACTGATTGATTCTTTCGTGACATATGTTTTTTCATGCAGTCTGCGGTTTGACTTAAGTTAGATCGATGTGAAGTGGGAGAATATCGTTCAGTTTAAAGCTTTATGTTGCCCCTCGGCACAGTTATTGATCTTAGGTATAGTCTGTGAGATAGATTAGTTCGGCGGAGGTTCGATTCTTCGTTCGATTGCGGACTCTAGGAGTACTTGTGTTTGTGATGATGATGAAGGCCGTGATTTGGTTAAAATAACGTATATATCTTCTCAAGCACTGTTAATTGACTCGACTGTTTTTTTGAACTGTTTTTAGCTTCAATTAAAAACATAAAGACCACTAATACCGGTGCATTCGAAGCAACAGAGTATACCGAAAGATCTTGAAATAGATAATTAATTTCATTTACGTCCACCGCGCGGCGACCGATCCAAGTCTAAATACGGAAACTAAAATCGGGGTGTGTTTCCAGCCGAATGTTCCGGCTTCCATACATCCGTGGTAGAGCAATAGTCTGACTATCATCGAAATGGGCAGTCCATTAAATTTACACACACGATTTTGCGACACCATAAAAAGGTATAAGATAAGCCTCGTTTAAGGCGTCCATCCATGAGCCCGCCTACGTCGTCAACCTTCATATTAATACAAGCAGTTTAAAATTCTGGCCACGTGCATAAAGGTAAAAGAGATATGAGTGTCTAATATGTACAAATAAGGTGTATAGTAGAAAGAGATGAAATATGAGAAAGTATCTTCATTATTTTTCGAAGGAAATGTCCGTCATTCTAGACATGAAAAGTTTAATGAAGATTTCATCTAATCAACATAGATACCAATTTTAGTGTAACTATAAAAACTATGTTGAAAGATTATTGTCTGAATTAAATGAAAAACTTGTGTCCTTTGTTCTTTTTAAGTCAGCCGGCCGAAGTTCCTTTCTGGCAGAATGCTAACAGGTCAACTATTCTAGATGATAGTAATAAATAATATCGTTAGATGTTCTGTAAAAAATGTAAACAGACATAAAGCTTGTACTTGCGTCAATTTTATTGACGCAACATAGTTCATGCATCGTAAATAGATGCAATTGAGAAATAAGATGCTTTCGTAACAGAAGTTATTGAAAAATTGTTAATAGGAATATGCATTTGTAGAGAATTGTTTAAAAAGTTTAACAAACCTTTCACGTCAGCCTGCGTTGTCTCTCCTGGTTCTCCCGATGTAAAAGTATTTGACATCTTCATTTATTTCCTTGCAAGCTCAAATCCAAATATAAAACCTATTGCAACAATCCTACCAACTTCGAAAAATTCATTGAAACACTTAAACAGTAACATAAGTTATTGGCACGTATTTAAAACACAGTTCTTCTTGAGCTCGAGAACGTACGCAAAAATGTCATTGTATCTTATTTCCATCACGTGCTCACGTAAATGTTTGAACACGGATCGACCGCACAGACATCCCTCCCTTCCAACGGTCAAAACCAAACTAAACGCCAGAACGACGGATACAAGTTGATTCGTAGTGGCGGGGTAAAAAAGCGCGGCGCCAGCCCGATTTGCCCCTAGAGATGCACCCGATACAGTGTTTATTTGTTTATTTGTTGACGCCACGCAATAATTTCACAGTAAGCGCCTTCAGATTCGAATTATTTGCGCGCGTCAGTAATCAGTTTTTAGTGAGTCGAGAATTCGCGATAGTAAGTAAATAATATTTTTTTATGCCTTACCGCTTTAAAGCTCTGATCCGGAAATCCAATTGTGAATTTGAAGAACATAAATAATTTAAAAATTATTAACTTTAGAGGTGAACATTTCGGCTTAATAAGTAACAGAATTTTCCATCAAATTAGTAAGAAAGACAAAAGGAGCAAAGGTGCCGAAGCGAAATATTCGAGAGCTGCGACATTTTTTCACGATGTCGATGTCGATAAATTAATCTTCGATAAAAAATAAATCGATTTAATTAGCGGCCGGGGAAATGTTATCGATGATTCGCATCACTGGTGCGCCAGCCGGTCGCATTCTCTGGCCGCGGCGGGGCGGCGGCGCGGCGGCCCGCGAGGATCGCCCGCCGCCGCATCTGAACATTTGCTCCAACTCGCGGGCTATTTCCACGTCCACATGTGCGCATCCGTGACTCACGCACGCATACGCATTAAACGCCGATTTGCGTACACAATATTCGCGCGGTGCAACAGCGATGCCCCAGCGCCGTGATCCGATTTAGATTCGTATTATCGACACGTTGCCAGTAACGTCTTTCGATTAGCGCGCCCAATGAGCGTTTAATCGTCCTCAATGTGTAGATAAACGATTTCGATTTTCACGATATAACCCGTTATATAAATGTTAAGCGATGATAAACATAATCTGATCGGATTATTCTTACGTTCGTCCGAAATGCGTTCGGCGATAGACACGTATTGAATGGATTCAGTTATCTAAACATAATAAAAGACTGCATCTGGGCGTGACGGCTAAATGTGCTTCATCACTATGACACTTATTTGTCGACGTCGGCATGTACAAGTGGTGATATAATCAATCCTTCGAGTACAACGGCGCTCGCCTAAAAGGTAGGCGGTGTGGACGAGTGTTCCTTAAAAGCAGAACATGACTTTTTTGTTCACTCCCGTTGAGGTCTGCTCCGAGGCCGTGGCTCGCGGGCCGGCGTCCTCTTTATCATCTCTTAACGCGTCCAGATTCGGCGACGCCGATACGAAATCCTGTTCCGGCGGCTTTTTGCCCGTGCGTTTCCCCAGTTTCGGGGAACGGCAAACGCAAAAAGGTCGAGATTCGCCTCCAGCCGTTCGTACAGGTTTTGTCGCGGATTTTTATGCGCGCGGCATCGGCCGGGGCTGCGCTTAATTCGATCCATGTGCGCGGCAAACGGTCGATTTTCACTTACGATGTAAATCTTGATGCCTATCCTAATCTCGATGTGTGTACGATTTGTATTAGGCCGTGCCATTTCGGAAAGGAGGTTTTACAATATTTAGACGTCACTTCGAGTGGCGGTCTCAATGCGCGGGTGTGAAAGGATAACTCCCGAGCAAACAGAGCGCGGCTGAGATAGTAAATATTCGGGCGAGCGCAAACCTGCCCCGCGTGGGCGGCGAACGGCCAGGTAAGGCTTTTGACACCTAGCCACATCTCTCTGGGCGTAATGGGGTGGGGGGGGAGCGTGAATATCGTCGCGTACTGTTTAGCGGCCAGTTTTTTGGCTATTTGGTGATGTGGGGCCTATACACAAAGTCCGAACCGACACGTGTGATATGGAATAAGGTATCCGAATTAGCAGTTTCTGAATACTAGGAACGGAGGATATTTGTATTGTATTAATTTTTTTTAATTTCTATCCGTGTCAATGTCAACGCCCAAAATATTTTACAATTGCACGTGATGAAAATGAAATATTCTTGTCCCATAAAAAGTTCTTCCACAGTTGTGCCTAAAGACAATCTGTTTTTCTACATATTTTTTTCCGTATAAAAACTGAATACAAATGAATTAAAAAAAAATTCATGACTCGATGGCGCAGTAATTAAGCTAGTTTTGTCGGTGCCTTGGCCGTAGGTGTCATTCCCACAAGAGGCTAATATTTGTATGACATTCATATAATTGTTTCGGATTTGGGTATTTGTCCTCAAGAAGGGTTGATGTCCGGGGAGATAGCCACTAGCGAAGAACCTTACCCACGTTATTTCGTACCAACTTTGTTGGCTCTAAGTAAAAATGCATTAATAAAAGCAGTTAAAATGAAAATAACCTAAATTAAAATCGAATAACTTACGGATACAAATCGTCGCCCGGGGCCGATTGAAAAAAGACACTTCAATTAAGAAGAAAGAATAAAAACGTGGGACGGCGTTACCCAATGACCCGTCAATCAGCCAGGCCCCGGATTTAATTGACTCGCTGATACAACGTCGAACATTCGGATCGTTAAAGAAACTCGCCAGTAATATAAATCGGTAGCTTTGCCCACCTGGCAGCGATAAGTGGCGCCAAATATAAACTTTATATAGGTATAGAATACGTATAGCCAATGTCTGAACAGATGCTAATTTCTCTATTGGTCACCAGGGAAATCATGCATTGACACGATGGAACGTAATAAGGGCGACTTTCTAATCGCATCACGAAATAATCGTAAGAAACTAAATTACTTCTGTCGCTCGTATTGTACTAATATATCAGTAAAAAACTTAACGTGCTTCCTCAAAAATGGCTTTCTTTCACTCGGCGTTCGGAATTCAAAATCAAGGAATGAATTCTGTGCAATAGTTCAACCTTAATATGAATTAAACTTTAAAGTCTTTGAAATACAGTCGGAATTCACGTGCATTGTTTAATCTCAGCTGATGTGCACAACTTTGTTCCAATGTGGACTCTAATCTCTGTGAGTTACAGTTTAATTTGCAAATCTGTACAGCAGCTCGCTCGGCAGGACAGTAGGCGCCGCGCTTACCGCCGTGGCGCCGGCTGGCCGCCGACACCTCGTGTATTATGAACTAGCCCCGTGACCTGGCGTCGATCAACTCGTATTTGACTCAGCAAACGAAGTACCGACCGAGTCATTTCCAAGCAAATTAGACTTGTACGGAATCGTTTAACATTCACACTGTAACACCGCGCTCCTATTGTGATGAGCGAGGAATTTATCTAAAAAAACACGGGTTTTCCTTTCGTCGCTAAACTGCTGTCGAGACAATTTGCATAATGTTCGTTAAATTACGATATTCTTTTTTTATATTATCTTTGAGTATTCTGGAGTACCTTTACCATTACGAAAATAGAATGACCTTTAGAATTAAAAAATTAAAATCGGTTCTATTCAATATTTCCTTTTATTTAGCTAGTTATTAACATGAAAAAAATATTGTATACGTTATAAATATAAATAGTTACGTGATATTTACAACAAACAAAAGAGTTAATGCAGCCACTAAAGCTTCTTACAATCGTTCCGGCCTTACATTCTTATAGCTGCGACAAAACAAAAACAGCCGCTTAGAAAAGGACAGGCTTATCCCCGTCTGCAACCTCAAAGCGAAATATCGATAATTTATGCGAACATCCCTAACAAACAGGAATGCAGTGATAAGAGCACTTATGAGATATTCGTCCTTAAGTCGGTGTCATACGACACATAATCAACTGTAACATTCCTTAAATAAACGCTTTGGTTGAAACAGGTGTTCGCGTCCATGGTTGTCTCCCCTCGCATTAGTTGACATTGAACTGTATTGTATTGACGTAAGGTTTATTTTCTCCCACCGCTAATGTAGACTGTATCGCGTTTTCGTTTCGGAGCGCACTCATCGCTCCCAGATGTGCGATTCTTAGTAGGCAGAGGCGTATCGGTGGCGGCGTAGCGGTAATGGGGACGGACGCCGGCAATTAACGAAGCTTTAAAAATCTATTTTCCCGCACAATTTTAGCGAGTTTTTAAGAAATACTGCGGCAGGCGGTCGGTTTTTGATTAATAATGCTAGTGTGAATTTTCAAAATCATAAGGGGTTTCGCCCCATCGTCTCCCGCAACACAACACAACCAGACATATGTTTTTTTTTTATAATTTATGCATCATGAACATAGACATTAGACAATATAATTGGTGTTTAAACTATGATGTCAACATTTAATAGGATGGTAGAGTTGCCTTAGTTATTCCATGTAATGCAAAAGTATAATCTCTCACATGTCCCACATATCACGACTAAAATATACCTATTTATTTAATTTTTAACCATAAAAGTTCTTAATTGGAAAACTTAAAATATTTTTTAAGGTACCTACTTCTTTATGGTATATGCAATAAATGATAAAGAATACCCATGCATTCCTTTTTCGTTAATACAAATTTTCGTTAGCTAAGAATTGAAAGAAACAAATGTCTATTAAATTTTTTCTAAGTCTAACGACATCACATTTCCTGACCTAGCTTAACGACGCCTTACAGCCTTTATACCTATTATTGATTTCTTGATTATACGCGAATATTATAAATTGCGAAATAAAACTGTTTTACGGATTTTGTGACCATCAATGCTAGAAAGGGTTCAAAACGTCAGGAATTTAAAAATCTAATTTAAGTATCAGCCTTTACATGTCCCACTGCTGGGCAAACGCCTCCTCTGTACCAAGGATATCAGGGCATAGTCCATTGGCGGACTTCACATATCTTCGAAATATTTTTTTATTATTTGGAAAATATGCATATATGCATATAAAAATCATTCCTCACGATGTTATGCAAGCATGATTATTCGGCACTTAAAATTAACCATTTAATTGGTGCCGGCACCGGGGATCGAACTCAGGTTGCTCGAGTATATTGAATTAAAGACGAGCGCCCGGACACTGAGCTATCACGGCTAAAATCTAATTAAACGTGAGAAAATTCGTAAAATAGTTATATTCCACAATTCATCTCTATCGCGTATAACTATAATTTGAACATCAGTTTTTTTTTTAATTAAAAATAAAACAAAGAAAACATAATGGTAAGAGTCAAACACTTCACTAGAAAATTTCCTTAGTGTGATTGATATAAAATCACTTTAAAAATATATACTGAACTTATCGTAAGTTCAAAATTGTTCTCTCATATATTTATAGCATTATAAATTGTAGTTATACCTTTGATATAATGCGTAAGTAGAGATTCCGGACCAGCTTTTCTAGAGCATTCAATTTGTCTTTGCAAATTATGAAGGACAATAGTTAAATTTATTGTTCAATGATATTTACATGTAAAAGGAAATGAGTGAAGAAGCCACTTTCAATCTACAAAATTTAAAAGTAACCAAATTTATTTGAATAGTTTACAATGAGCAGTATTTTCAATTTAACGGATTTATTTAGTGTGGAACATAATTATCATGCGACCAAATTGAAAATACGTCAACATCGGTAAGTTAAAACGAAGACGTTTTGTTCTGCTCGTTTTATGTAAGTGAACATTTTTTCCATCGTTTAGAAACATTCGTTTATAACTATAATATAATTTACAAGGGCCGATTCGCTATATATGGATCAGGTGCTCCTACTTCCCAGCCTTCCTACTTCCCAGCCTTGCTACTATAGTTTGCCTGCCATTGTTAGATATTTATGGGCTTCGGGATCTGTAATTACGACATGTCCCATTTAATGGCCTCAAAACTTATGTTCGACATGGATAATAGTCGATATGCACAACTACACACACTTTACCTGTCGGTGCTTTAATTGAAATGAGGTCTCGCGAAACTTCTATGCTCGCTTCAATTGGTGGAAGATAGAAGGTGAAGTACAGTCACCATCATTGGGTATTAATGATGACTCTACCGCACCGACACTGTCGACTCTTTAAATCATAATGGTGCCCTTTGGTGAAAGATGCATGTATGCCTATGACTGTATACCTACTGATATAGCTGCAGGTTTGGCGCGGAATATCCTTCACAAAGCTGATTGAACATTGTCACGTGGTGAGACATAAAAGGCATTATGTCAAGCAGCGATTTCAGCACGCAAAAATTTAATAATCTGAGAGCTGATTGAGCTTTGCTGAACTAACTTAAAATCTGTGAGCTGATTGGCGTATAGCATCCCTTCCACTAGGCTATAAATGCCTCGATACACAGCGTCCTCTCTAGTCAGATAATAGCTACTGCTCGATCACCGAGGTCCGGCTCTCTCGAGCATCCTTGAAACGGAATCCGCCATCCAATAACAACTTTTTGACATTTACCAATAATTCCAAGATATTTAAATATACCGTTATCAATTGCATTTAATGTTTTTACCCTAAAGAAGTATAGCGTCTACGTGCGCACGTAAGTCCACACATACTGTTTAGGGTTCCGAAGCCAAAGGGT